TTTGAGAAATGATGCCAATGTCAGTTTGCAATTGCTTGCAATAACGAGTCTATATATATATATATATATATAAGGAAGTGAAGAGGCGATCGGATGCTGAACATAAGAGCTCTCGCTTCTCAATGCAACCGCGAAGGAAATTCATGAGGAACTTCAGGGCGCTTTCTAACACAAGTTTCACAGAAGAGGCGTCAGTTCCGAACTCTCGAGGATCCTTAAAAAAAACTCGACAACTTCTTGATTCTCTTGAACGTCGCTTTATATATTATTATATATTGATATTTTTTTTAATTTTATCTAGAATGTCACTAGATTTTTACTAGAGCAGGGGGCGGTAGTTGACATATAAAATTACTATAGTGACTTTATGGTAACTTTTAATTTTATCTAGAATGTCACTAGATTTTTACTAGAGCTGGGTGCGTTTACTACTGACTAGCAGAATTGGGAAGCGATAATAATAATTTGAATATTATTTCACGTATTTGAATAGTTACTCTAAATAAGTTTTTTTTATGCTACCTTAGGAAGAATTTAAACCTGTCAGAAGAATAAAAATTAACCAACGAAAATCATTCCCCGACAGAGGTGTAAATACTTTCTTATATTAAAAATAAAAAAATGTGCTAAGAAGTTATCCCCCCCCCTCTTAAAAATTTGGATATTAATTTAAAACAATTTTTAAATACCATCATTTTAAGATGTTTCCCTGTGCCTTCATGTATTTTCTCCAATTATTCATTATCTAGTATGAAAAACTTGCTTTCAGCCACTTTAAAATCTCACTCATTGAATTTTTTCTTCTTCTTCTTCTTCTTCTTATTACTATTATTATTATTATTATTAATTTTATTTGTTTATTACAGACACTAAACTGTGTCTTTGTGAGCGTATTTTTTATGATTATGCACTGAAAAAAAATTTATTTGATTCAAATATTCGGTTACTTGATTATTATCAAATAAATATTTACTTGAACCAAATAATTTTTATTTAAGCCAATTAAATAGTATTTGTTTCAAATACAAAAATTATTGGTCCAAATACAATTTATTTAATTCAAATAAAAATTATTTGATTCAAGTAAATATTTATTTGATAATATTCAAGTAATCGATTATTTGAATCAAATAAATTTTTTTCTCAGTGTGTAATATTAAAAATACAGAGATTCAGAAAATCGATTTTGTAAATTAAAATTATTTTCCTTTTTTAACACATTTAGTAGATAAATATACATTTGTTTCTAAAAAAAAAACAAATCTTATAATTCACCGAAAGGAGGCTAATTCTGAGAAATACTCGAAAATATACTTAAACGATTTTCACAATAGAAAATTTTCAAAATTCAAAATTTTTCTTTTACGATTTGGGATATCAATATATTGTCATGTTTGAGAGTGAAAAAAAAATGTTTTAGAATTTTTGTTCCCATTTCGTTTAATCCGATGGAATCTGGTAAACAGATGATCCCACAGTCCCATTGGCGCCTAAAGCTTAGGTCAATTTGATCCTTGTCTATACTTCCTTTGGTTTGGGGTTTTATGACTCTTAAAACATTGTCAAAATACATTTTTTTTCTTGTCAAGTTTCACACTCAACTTGACTTTTAGTTCAACTGTCACCATATGGTTAGTTTTATCTTCTATTCTCATTTCTAATTGATATGGAAATTAATAAAATAAAATTTTTATTTATTTTTTTTTTGACAAGTGGGGCGTGACTAATTATGGATTTCTGTGGCTATAAATGTCATTTAAAAAAATATAAAAAAATCGAAAACGTTATTTAAAATATAATCTTTTTTTGGTACGTTTGAAAAAAAGGGGGCGGGACCAATTAGTAAGCAATGAATATAATTGGTCACGCCCTAAAATAATTTTTTTTAAAAATATAATTGTAGAATTTTTTTATACAGGTGTCAATGAGAATTCAATTGTTTTAATTTTTTATTGTTGTCTGTACTTAAATAATGTTTTTGTCTGAAGGATTATTATTTGGCTCCCTCCCCCCATTAATTAGTCACATATTTTTATTATTTATTTTTTTTATAGATTTAATTTACTTTTTTATTTTCATTTATTTATTTTTTTATCCTTCATTTCATCTTTTTTTGTTTCCTTTCGCTAATAATTTAATCTTCTTTGAATTTTTTTAAAATTACTTTCTCTCTTATTTTCAATCTTCTTGTTTTTGTTTTATATTTCCATATATTATTTTTTACCCTGCATTTAATCTATTTTCTAATTAAATGATTTTTTTTTCTTCTGTTTCTAGTTTAATATATCTTCCATCTAAATCATATTTTTCATTATACTATTTCAAATTATGTAGGTTATTCTCTTTATTTTGTTTTAATTCAGTTTTTTCTTCACTTTTTTTTTATGTAATTTTTTATACTCGAGTAAATTTTATCTTTTTAACAAATGTTACCTTATTTTACAAAAAAAAAATGAATGTCAAAAGTAAAATATTCATATTTACACTAAAGAAAGAAATTTCTACTTTTAATTACGTGCAAAACTACTAATTAAAATTATTATTTTCCTATAAACATATATATATATTACAAGAAAAAAAATTTTAATTCTCGAAATTTATTCATGAAAATTCACGACAATAGCTGAATTACAGATTTAAAAATTACGCAAAATTAAAACAGAGGAGCAAATTTTGTAAAAAAAAAAAATAGTCAAGAACTTAATTAAATAACGTTTAATAGTTAGATAAAATCGAATAAAATATTTTAGGTTATCAACATAACCTCAAAACTGTCAAGAATATCATAACTTATCTAACTAAATATTTTTATTTAAAAATAAATATTAATATTTTTTTTTTTTAATTAAAAATAAATAATCGTGATTATCACTAGTGAATTTAGTCAATATATTTTTGCCAATTCAATTTGTGTAAGCAGTGCCACTTATTTTTGAAATTCTAATTACATTTCTTTTATGTGACGAAGGATGGCAAATTTTTTTCCCTTTGGATTCATAATCGTCACTTTTACTTTCTACTTCGTTTGAATTCATTTCATTTATAATTTAAACTGTCTAATATAAACTATTTAACAACGTCTAAAGCACGTGGCGAATATCATAAAAGTAAATATTACACTACATCCACTGCGCATGTTTGATGCGCAACGTCTTCTGCTATTCCCGCACGAAACAATTTTTGGTTGGTTTCCATTGTCCCCATTCGGCATTTGTCATAATTCTCGTCAACTACCGCACCCTGCTTTAGTAAAAATTTAGTAACTTTATTTTTAAAAATTAAAAGTTACTAAATTTTTACTACAGCAGGGTGCGATAGTTGACGAGCATTATGACAAATAGGGAGTTGGAACAAATACAGTTATCCTACTAAAGTCCGTTAAGGTTGTTCTACAATACTTTCTTCACATCGGTAATATTAAAAATTGAACATAAAATAAAAATAAGAAGAAGATGAAATTCAATGAGTGTGAGATTTCGAAGTGGCTAAAAAGCAAGTTTTTCATACTAGATCATGAATAATAATTGGGGAAAATACATGAGGGAACAGGGAAACATCGGTATTTAAAAATTGTCTTAAAATCTCCAAATTTTTAAGAGGGGGTAAGTTCTTAGCAAATTTTTTTTTTATTTTTAATATAAGTAAGTATTTACACCTCTGTCGGGGAATGATTTTTGTTGGTTAATTTCTATTCTTCTGACAGGATTAAATTCTTCCTAAGATAGCATAAAAAAATAACTTATGTAGAGTAATTATTCAATTACATGAAATAATATTCAAATTATTATTATCGCTTCCCAACTCTGCTAGTCACTAGTAATCGCACCCTGCTATAGTAAAAATATAGTGACATTCTGGATAAAATTAAAAGTTACTATAAAGTCACTAAATTTTCACTAGAGCAGGGTGCGGTAGTTGACGAGAATTAAATGGCGAGTGGGGACAATGGAAACCAAACCTTTTCTTTAAAGGGTTAAAGTACGGTCACAGCTCAGCTATCAAAGTAGGATTCTCGTCATCTACCGCAGCCTGCTCTAGTAAAAATTTAGTAACTTTTAATTTTAACAAGAAAGTCACTAAAATTTTACTAGAGCAGGATGCGATAATTGACGAGAATTAAATGGCGAGTGGGGACAATGGAAACCAACCATTATTGTAGAACTTTATTTACGGTTCTTTCACAAGGAGCAAATTAGATTTCAACCAATCAAAATGAAGTCTCTTACGGCAAATATTACCTTGCCGCAAGAGATTAAATTTTTATTGGCTAAAATCTAATCTGCTCCATGTAACTCAGTCCTTAACGATAAAATCAATAAAAAAAAATTGAGTTTTGATAAAATCGACTTTTGCGATTTCTGTAAAAAAAAACTGCTTCAACCCGGTAAAATTAAAATTAGTTTTTTTTAAATATATTGGAGATTAAATATGTTTTCTAGGAGCTGATTCTTTGTATTTTCATTTTAAAAATCACAAACATAACCTAATTTTTTTTTTTGAGAAGTTCTCTTCTCTCGCTGGAGCGTCACATATATGTAAATATATAAGAATAGACTATTAATAAATTTTGCAAAATCATGGCTGCTGGTAACGTTTAAAGCCATATATAAAGTGACTCATTTCTATAATTTACCGTTCTATTTGATAGATGCTAATAAGTAACAGAAGCAAGAAAATGCAAACAAACAAAGGCAGTCAAGTGCAAGAGCGTGAATGTGACAGAGGTAGACGCGGCGGTGTGTGCACGTTGCGACTCGCTCCAGACGTCCAGACTTCCGAGGGAGACGGGAATGATTACCTAAAGTATGAGAAAGAAAGAGAGAGAGGGATCCTTTAGTCACCGTCTCTCTCTCTCTCTCTTTTTTTCTCTCTCACTCTTTTTAACTGGAAAGAGATCGAGTTCGGCCGCGTAAAAGTTTCTCGAGAAAAGGAGACGGAAAGAAAAAGAGAGAGAGAGAGAGGGAGATAGAAAAAGAGAGTGGGGGAAAGGCATAGGATAGGCTGACTCGCCGTGTCGTCGTTAGCAGCCGCGCGGCGTGCTAGTTTCGGCTTGCCGCTCCGACGTGACGGTAGTCTCTTTGTCGGCGTTCACTTTTAATACTTGTGCGCCGAGTCGGCGTTTTTTCGCGAGTGAATTTTACTGTATAGTGCTACAAAAAAAAAAAAGAAAAAATAGTGTTAACTCAAGTGCAATCGACCTTGGATTTAAGTTTTGTGATTCTTCGTTTAGTGAGGAGAAAAAAAGTAGTTTCCTTTTTTTTGGTTACCAAGTGTTTTCTACAAAAGTTTGTACAGTGTTTTTTTTTTTAAAAGAAGAATTAGTTTTTTGTTTTCATTATTTGGATTACTTTTACACTTTCTTCGAGAAACAAATTGGAATTCTATTTCTTCATCTATAAAAAGGTAAGTCACTCTATGTTTTTTTTTTTTTTTTGTAGACTCTTCAGCCGGCTTTTTATCTTTTCTCAAGAACGAAAAAGTTGATTGAAAAAGTGTTTTTGAAGCAGAAATTCAGAAAAAAAAATCTTATAAAAGGCTTAAATTTGCCTTATTTTTTCGACCCTAGTGTTTAAAATTTCGAAATTCGTTCTTTTTCGACTTGAAAATTTTTTTATCTGGGGTCAAAACGTGAGGTCTGAAAATTCGGAGTCTAAATTGACGAAATTCGCAATAAGTTACGGATTGAAGAATGTACTTCCATTGGATAATAAAGAAAACCACCTATTAATGGCTTCAATTCCATTTCGGTTTATCGTTCAACTTTAATGATCCGTCGCTGAAAGTATGGAATGAATTGCTTATTAAAGCCCCGCAAGATTTAAGTGTACGTGTTTTATTACAAATTTTCAATGCTGCAATATTGAAGGGAATTGAAATCAAGAATTGAACAACTATTATATTGGTAGTTGGATTTTAGTTAACGGTTTTAACCTTGAAAATATTGGAAATGCAACTGCAAGTCTTGAAAGTTTATGTCGCATTGGACATGTGTTTAAGACCATCGTGTATGGAAGCAATGGTTTTTGAACGTAAAATGTAATTGACATGAAAAGGTCTATAAACCTTGGAAATTGAAGTGCACTTCTTGGAGAGAGGGAAAAAAAAAGAAGAGAGATGAGAGAACAGATGTTTTTAGGGTTTCTGTTGAATGGGACCGGCAGGTAGAAAATTTAACCCACACATAATATGATGCTGTACAAAACGCACGTTATCCAGCGGTGAAGATAGAAGATTTTTAAATTGCCTTCTTTTCAAGTGCTCCGGCATCGTCTTCTCTCTTTTTTCGGAAGTGACCAAATTATATGTATATATATCTATAACCGATGTTTTTTTTTTGAAGATTACAAGTTTGTTTCTATATTTAAGTTTGTGCCGTCTTTTGTGTATATATCGTCGATTATTTTATTGTTTGTAAAATTGTTGAGGCAATTTAGGTTAGATTTAAAACAGAGATGGCAATCGAAATATTTTCGGTTTTCACTTTTTTGTATTCTACTCAAAAAAAAAATTCGGTTTTACTATTCTGTATTCTTCGCAAAAATATTTCGGTTTTACTATTCTGTATTCTTCGTTAAAAAAATTTGGGTTTCGTTATTCAATTTTTAATGTCAGAAATGTTGGTTTCAGTTTCTCAAAAAATTGGGTTTTCATACTTTAGTTACGGGGGGTTTTCTTTAAAAAAAAAAAACTACGGCTTTAGTTTTTTAATATTAGAAATTTCAGTTTTGGCTTTTCAAAAATTTTGGTTTCAGTATTTTGGTTACGGTTTTTTTCTTAAAAAACTACGATTTCGGGTTGTTTTTCTTAAAATTTTACGGTTTTCGTATTCGAGTTTCGGTTTTTAATGTCAAAAATTTCGGTTTCTCAAAAATTTTGTCATTTTTGGTTAACGATTTCGATTGGCATCCCTGGTTTTTAATATACTTGATGCTTTAAACGTTCAAATGAAAACGAAATCATTTTTTTGGTTCATAAATTTTTAAAAATTACTACTGCAATGAAAAATAAACCAAAATTTATAAATTTATGTTCGGTTACAAAAACTCAATACTTACTAGTGAAATTTGAACTTAAAGCAGTAGTAGTAAAAAAAAATTCCTTCATTTGAACGTTTAGAAATTGTAAAAAATTTTGTAAAAAAAAGGCCAGAACGTTTATGAAACGATTTTAGTGACATAACCTATTTGCTATAATCGTTTCTTGAACTATAAAATTGTAATCTTTATTTAAATGTATGTACAAGCATTATTAAAGCTAAACTTTGACAATTTTGAATTTAGGAATATACCTCCGAATATACTAACAAACTAATATAACGAAAACTAACTAACATAAAACTAAAATACTAAAAATTTTTAATGGTATGCTTTTATACATTACCATTAATTTTTTTTTTTTTAAATTTACTTGTTATCTAATTTTTACAACAATCGACGTTCAAAAATCGTAAAATTGACAAATATACTGTACATTTATTATAAACGCTACTAAAAGAGCAAATGTCGCAAAACTAAATTCGACTATATTTTATCAAATATTTTTTATATACGACTTTGGAAAATTGGAAACATTGAGAAAAATATTCACGAAAATAAGCAAAAAATGTTTTGCTGTAACTGTAAAATATATATATATATAAATACGATTTAGTAAAAAATGAAAATGAGCTAAGAAGCAAAATTTTCGAAGAAACTCTAAATTTTATATATATAAAAAAAATGTACATGAAACTTTTATATACATAAAAAAAAACTTTACAGGTTATATTAAAATTTTGGGTGAAAAATATTATGGAAGCATTAAAAAATCATTCTAAACTTCAATATAACTTGTTGTAAAAGTTTTACACACATGCTATACTTATAATAACTTTTATTATATATGTATGATGAAAATTTAGTTTTTTGAACACATTTTCCCTAAATCGTTATAATATACAGTAGACTCTCACAAACTGTCACTCCCGCAAATTGTCCACATTCAGAAACTGTCTCTGACCGACATTCAGAAACTGTCCCGCTCCCCACTTTTCGTTTTCCCTTTCCTTGGCCAAAAGTGCGAGCTGCCAGAGCCGAAACGGAGTAAAAATTCAAGGGGGATCTCTGTCTTAGAAAATTTTATTTAAAACTTATATATTTAATATACATATATTAATAATATTAATATAAATATTAAAATATTATTTATTTCATGTACATTAATAATAATAATATTTAATTTATTTAACATTTTTAATTTGAATGATATATAATTTTTTTTAAACATTAAAGAGGTTCAACCCATTAACACAACGTCAAACTAAAAAATTGTTAACAGAACTAAAATTTTATTTTTCTTAACTTATGAACAAAACATTTTTAATAAAAATCAACGTACAGAATTGTAAAAAATCTTTTAAAGGGTCATTTCAGCTATTATTTGTAAGAATTCAATAAAAATTATATGTAATTGTTCACCTACTTTGAACAATAAATATAAAATGTCAAATAATTATTATATAACAACAAATTTTTGGGCAAAATAATGTATTTTGGAAGTTCTACAACTGAATCTTTTAAAATTTGTTAAAATTATTTTATTTATAGTTTTATGTATATTGTATATTTACCTATGTTTCGAAACATTTTATTAGAACCTTTGTATCTATAGAACGCAAATAGACAAGATACGATCCTGCAATTCCCACTACCTACTTTTGTAGGCGTGGCATAACGGAAGGGACAGTTACTGAATGTCGAAAATTTCACTTGGGACAGTTTGTGAGAGTCTACTGTATATTACAAATTATTTATGTAAAGCATTTTCTCGAACACTGTTACTATATATATTTCAAGTGCATACAGAAACTGAAATTGTAAAATTATTTTAAAATTTTTCAAAATTGGAAAGAAAATGTTCAAAATTATTTATTTATTATTATTCACATAAAAAACAAATACTGAAACCATTAACATCTTAAAATTAAAATTAACGCCTGGAAACTAGCGTAATTTTTATCTTAAAACTATAGATTAAGTCAATTTTAGGACTTAAAATCATACACTGAAGGCTGAAATTTAGTAAAAATGGTTCTAATGTTAATGGTTTTAGTTAAAAGTGCGAACTAAAAGTGAGTATTATTTTTTAGTGTGTTGAAATTAAAATTTGTGTTAATAAGTAGAGTATTGAAGTACAACATGGAGAGAAAAGATTGAAAGAAGACATCAAAAATTAGATCAAGATAAAAATGGAGGTGAAATTCATCGAATAATTTCTGGTGTGCTGTAAATTTCACTTTGACATTGAAAATGGATTTTTTTAAAATCAATAACGCAGAATATCTTCAGGAATAGAACGAAGTTCTATATGAACGATAGAAAAAGTGCCACTTTTTAAGGGAAAAGACATAATCGTAGAGTGCAGAATCTAAAGTATCTGTTTGCAGATTTCCTAAAAGTCCCAAAAAAAAAATAAAAGTCAAAAAAATTCTATGTAAAACCTTAAACGGGTCAACTTTAAGAGACTGTATCTCGGAAACTATTAGAGTATTTTTGAGCTACAAGGTTCTGTTTTTTATCAAATTATTTAGAATTTTATACACTTTTTTATAATAACTATTTTTATGCTAAAATGTCAATGGAAGGAGGCAATTTGGAAAAAAACTTGATTTTTTGCACCTAGTTCTTAAAAAATTTTTAGGTTCCAATAGGAGTTCGAAGTACCAAAATTTTTTTTTTTACCCCAAAATAAAGGGTTTAAGCAAACAAAATTGAGCTGCTGAGTTAAAACATCTATAAATGCTAACTTGACTGGACTAGTTGTACAATACACGTTGAAATACGTTGGGTCCAGCAGACCTGCTGTGCGATTTACGTTCCAATTGTGCCAGTTAAGGATTAAAACTACTGAATTAATAAAAAATTCTAAAATAGTTCCCAAATATATAAATTTTAAAAATGTTTTTCGCTGCAATTGTAAAAAATAAAAATATCACTAGGATCAAAATTCTTTCAAATTGAAATCAAAATTTCACTACATAAATATTCAAAAAAAAAAAAAATTAGGATTCATTTCGCGTGTCATTGAAACTCCTGATATATAATACACCACATATATGTGTGTTATATTGTGGATTTCGGTGAATCGCTTCGTTTGCAGTTGACTCTCGTGATTCGAAGGTCGCGCACATTGTCTTTTGTTCTTCTTGTTGGGTGCGGATTCCATCGATTCTCGATTCCCAAGGTGCAAGGGATTGCTGTCGCGCGGAAATGCTTCTCCTGTACCTATATATATATATAGAGTTCCACATATTGTTTTGGTTCTACTATATACCTTGGCGTAAAATCGAAATACACACGAGTCATGAAGCCGGAGAGCTTGGAGATTAGTGTCAACAAACTCGTCGAGTTCGTTCACGTCTCTCTTTCTCTCTCTCTCTCTCACTCTCTATTTCTCTCTGCATATGGTTTCTTCCAAGAATACGTCCGTAATGGTCTGGAAGTAAGGATTAGATGAGTCCATAATTCAAGTTGCACTGATTGCCTTGTCTTTTACAGAAGGTTAAGCACAAATTTTCGAAAAATTCAACTCCAGTAAATTTCAACTCTTTAAAAATCTGTAGACTATATGTGTATTTATGTCTTCACTGTTCCTAAAAAAGAAAGGTGTAATTTTCAAAGAGGTAACAATTTTTAAAATTTTGAAAAAAAACCTATAAAGCTATACTGAGAGAAATGGATAGTAAGAATTTGATAGTAAAAAGAAAGATTGTACAAGGTACTATCATTGTGTTACTGACAAGAATCTACTATCAACATTTTACTATCCAAGATGTTACCCAAAGACGTAAAATATGTTAGCTTTTGGATTGTAGTCACTACTATCAAATATTGTAAAAATTAAATGTGAGCGCATGCGCTGATTGTGGACGACTTTGTTAAAAATTTATTAATGTCGTGGAATATGGAATCTTTGATTCCATCTTTTGGTGGTAGTTTTATTATTTTGATTGAATTAGCGAAGACTGAAGTGTGAACAAAGTTTATAACCTCAAAACAATTTTGCGTTGTTTAGACGGTGAAATTGATGAAGAATCGTTTTACTTACTGGACAATGATACAATATCACTCATTATACCAAAACCAGAACCTCGCTTAAAATTTTTTAAAAAATTTCAAGATTACAAAAATCAAGTAAGTTTTTTTTTCGTTTGTATAAATGTACATGTGTTTATTGAAATTTTTTTTTGGAAAAAAACTTTTTCATATTTTTTCTTACTTTTTTTAAACTTAAAAATTAGTAAAATAATACAAATTTAATTGACTCTGTGAAAAAAATATACCGTTTGATAAATATATTTATGTTTAAGCAAGTCCTTTTTATAGACGGAGTGAAAAAATAGACATACTCTTTTTTATGTAAAAAGTTTAAATTCTTATCGAAATGTCTTATTAAAATAAAATGAAATTATTTAAGTTTACAAAAAAAGCGAGGTTAGGTTCGTGTATATTTGCCACTCGAGAACGTTAAGAGATCGTATAAAATTTTTAACATCAAAGATTGTAAATTGTACAATCAAATTTCTATAATCATCTGATAGTAAATACTACAATCTATATCGCTGTCTGTATATTTAGCACTAAATATGGTTGCCCTTAACATCATTATGTTACCCAGTAGCATAAATTTCTCTCCGTGTAGGTTTACAATTGTATAGGCCTCTGTTAATTTACACTGTAAAAAAAGGAGTTGAATTTTAACTCCCTAGGGGAAAGCTATAAAAGTCCCACTCTTTTGGAGTTGAAGCGAAGGGAGTTAATGCTTTACGAGTTAATTTTATGCCTATAGGGAGTTAGTTTTAAGGAGTTAATTTAATTATTAAATCCCTTTTTAAGTTGATTTTTAACTCGAAAAATTTAACTCCCAGTAACGTTAAACCCCTAATTTTTTTACAGTATATTCAATTTTGCAATTCACATTTTTTATTCGAAAGGTCATAAACTACAGGCATAGAAAAAGTTTGCTGTGGCAGCGAACTATTTGTTGTCACATCAAATTACGTTAGCTAATATAGGGACAGCGAACAAATTTGCTGTGGAGTCAAAAAAGTTTGATGTGACGGTAAATTTTCAAAAATTAAGATTGATATTGATTATCACTGTAAACTTTTTTGTTATCATAGCAAAAAATTTAGCTGTGGTTACTAATTTTGATAGATATAATAGCAAACATCAGTTAGCTGTAAGGAATTCTTTTTTTCCGTGCTCTCTAAATCTGAATTAGTAGTTTTCTACTAATGAAAGAGTGCGTATTTGTTTACCAATTGAATTAGTAACAGTTTTGACTAATTTTTAATAAAAAAAAACTACTAATTGCTTGTAGAAAACTATTAATTCATCGAGTAAATCGGCTTACTAATTTTAAATAGTAAAAAAATACAACTTACTCCATGAATTTGTAGTTTTCTACTAGCAATTAGTAGTTTTTTATTAAAAAATTAGTCAAAACTGTTACTAATTCAATTGGTAAACGAACACGCGCTCTTTTATTAGTAGAAAACTACTAATTCATATTTAGAGAGTGTATAAAAAAAAGATTCCAAAATTTTCATCGAAACAAAATTTTGTCAATTTCGAAGTTGAGAAATTGAGTCATATCAGTTTCAATATATTCTCATAAGGCCCCCTCTCCCTCTTATGCTTTTATGACTGGGATTATTTTGCGTTTTGGAAAAGAAGAGACATATATATATATATGTATGTATAGAAATAATGAAATTAGGACAATATTGAAGTCAAGATCAAGTCACATATAGAATGAAATATACGCAATATTATATATATTTCACCCTCGCAGAGACCAACGGGGAATATATATATATATAGGGATATTTATGTATATGGGAGAAAAAATGCCGATTCAGCTCTCGCCCTTTGGATCTTTGACCTTGTGACGTGCTCCCCAAATGCGGGAGGAAAATCGCCTTCTCTACATATACATATTGCATTGGTATAAGGGGGGAAAAACATAAATATAAATGTATCGTATATATGTATATATACATATATATATATATTTTTTTTAAAGGAGGGACGAATCTCCTGCTGGCAATTCACTTTATATAGCATTGAAAAATATATTTTTTTTTGTCAATCCTCAAGATGGTACACTTGATTTTCGCGCAAATATAAAGTCAATTAAGTGTTGATTTAAAAAGTGTTTTATGTCTTAACAAATTTTTCTGAAAATTGATGATTTATTTTTCTTTATAACAAGTTAGGGAAAATTTTTCATTGATTTGATCAAAATTTTGAAATTTAAATTTCAATTCAAAATTATTCAAATTATCTAAATATTAATTGCCTTAAGTTTTAAATTATTCACATTTCAATTTGTCCAAATTTTAATTGATTTAAGTTTAAAATATCAAATTGTACAAAGTTTAATTGACTTAAGTTTGAAATTATTCAAATTTTAAGTGACTTAAGTTTCAAATTATCTAAATTTTAATTGACTTGAGTTTTAAATTATCCAAATTTTAATTGATTTAAGTTTAGGAATATCAAAAATTTCAAATTTGTCCAAATTTTAATTGACTTAAGTTTAAAATTAACCAAATTTTTGAGTGACTCTAGTTTTAAATTATTTAAATTTCAATTTATCCAAATTTTAATTGATTTAAGTTTAAAATAGCCAAATTTGAATTTATCTAAACTGTAATTTAATATAAAGTTAATTAAGTTTAGAATATTGAAAATTTCAATTTGTCAACAGTTTTTATTAACTTAAGTTTGAAACTATCCAAATTTTAAGTGACTCTAATTTTAAATTATCCAAATTTCAATTTGTCCAAAGTTTAATTGACATAAGATTGAAATTATCCAAATTTTAAGTGACTCAAGTTTTAAATTATCTAAATTTTAATTGACTTGAGTTTGAAATTAACCAAATTTTTGAGTGACTCTAATTTTAAATTATCAAAATTTCAATTTATCCAAATTTTAATTGACCCATAAATTTAAAATGATCTATAAATTATATTTGATTTAAGTTTTAAATTATCCAAATTTTAATTTGTCAAAATTTTAATTGATTTAAGTTTCAAATTATCTGTATTTGGGTCACTTCAAGAATTTTTCTTTATAATCTGTCATAGTCAAAAAAGAAAAAAAAAAAAAAAATTGTGAATTGTCGAAGGAGGCTTCCCTTCAAATTCCTTGTGGATCGTTTTACAGTCTCAAGGTTAGATGAAAAAAAAGCAACTTGGGAAAGACTGGTTCCTGACGGAGTCAAACTTGTTTTGCGATAATAGACCGACGGTAATGATTACACTCCAGGAAGAAGAGAAGAGGTAAAGGGCGAAGGGGTGAGAAGGGGGGGGGGGTGAAGAAAGTACGAGAGGGCGGTAAAAGCCTTGAACTGGTGGCGCTGTAATTTCATTTTCAAGGGCTGCGGGCATATCTGGTAGAAGCATTTTTGCAAAAAAAAAAAAAAAAAAAAGTATTTTTACATTATAAATTTTAGTATTCATTTAAGTACACTAAAAGTAGGAATAATCGCAATTCTATTGTTTTGCGATTAATGCTACTCATGAAAAGTAATTTTAAATACTTTTTTTTAAAGTTTTTTAAAAATTTTATATCAAATTTTCACAAAAATGTTGCTTTTATGGAAAAAAATCTTTATCTGGAACAGCGATATTTGTCACTAAAACAACGAAAGTTTTCGCTATTTTAAAGAAACATATACCTATTCCAGATAAATGCCTAAACGAACCTTTAGAATTTAATTTTTAATAATTGCAAAAAGTGTTAAATTTTTTTATTTTAGGTTAAAATTTTCAAAGAAATCTTTTCTCTAAGGTGTAACGTAATACAATTTTTAAAAATGTTAAAATTTAAACCTTAAATTATAAAATTTGTAAAATTTACAAAGAGGTTTTAAATTTATACATTTTTGGTTCGAATTTTTATCGATTTATAACGTAATTACCATTTTTAAAAAAGTTGAAATTTATATTTCAATTTTAAACATTTTTTTAAATTTCAAAAAAAAATGCCCTTTCAAAGGGGGGAACTACTTTTACAACTCATTCTAAACCCCCCCCCCCCCTCTTTTTTTTCTCTACTTTTTCTTTTCAAAGAATCGATTTAAAACTTTGCTAATAAATTTCCTATACATATTTTTAGAATTTTCAAAATTTTCACGTTTTTTTTTTTAAAAAAACTTTCAAACAAAATTTTCAATTCTCCATTTATTCGATTGGCAAATTAAAATATTTCTATTCTAAAGAGTGTATGATATATGTAATATGTGTTTGAAAAAAAAAACAGAAAAAAAATAAATGAAGGAATTCTAAATAAAGTTTTTCTTTGAAAAATAGAAAGAGGAAGTTTAGATTTAGTCTCGAGACAAGTGAATATATAGTGAAGATCGCGTGGTGGTAACGTCGAGAAAAGGCCTTCGCGTCCGTCGCGCATCTAATCGACTCGAAAACGTGCATATAATATCTAGATGAGTTCAATGAACTCCTTCGCTTAATACTTGTTTGATTAATGGACCCGTGACTTTTTTCTTCAAGTGTCGAACTAGGAAGTTGTATAGTAACTTTACAACATCGATCTTCTAAAATTCTAAGGCTTAAATTGAGAGTGTGAGAGAGAGAGATAGAAACTTTTTCTAAGTCAACTATATATGGCATTAACATTAGCACGCAAGCACCGTGAGAATAAAGCAACCAAAATCTAAAAGCATTTCTCTCAAAAATAAAAAAAAAATTGTTACAAAACTAGTTAGGCAAAATTCTGATTGATGTTGAGGAAGTCTAAAGATTTTGTATATATATATATATATATATACATAACTGGAAAATTTATCACTTAATCCGATATAACCAAAATTTAATAGAAATCCCTGATTTTAGCGTAGGGCTCTTTAGAATTTGCCGTCAGATTTTCCATGATTAAGTGGAACAAAGTTCTAACACTGGACTTTGCGCTACGAGCGAGAGAGAGAGACTAAATTTGCAAATTCCATATTCATGTTCTAAAATCTCTCTCTCTCTCTCTCTCTCTCTCTCTCTCTCTCTCTCTCTCTCTCTCTCTCTCTCTCTCTCTCTCTCTCTCTCTCTCTCTCTCTCTCTCTCTCTCTCTCTCTCTCTCTCTCTCTCTCTCTCTCTCTCTCTCTCTCTCTCTCTCTCTCTCTCTCTCTCTCGACTATAGAATTTCTACGGCACTAATACATATATTTTAATTGACATCTGAAATAAAAATTCTTTCTGAAATTTTGGTGGGGGAAAAAAAAATTAAAATTACAAAAAGAGGTTAAAATTTTGAAAAAAGTTTTTTTTTTGCATTACAAAGTACGTGAGAGATGTTTTAAAATTTACTTAGACAAAAATTTAAATATCCATAAATAATTGTCACAGTTGTGTATAAAATTAAAAATGAAAGTTTTGGTTAAAATTGCAACATTTGCAAACACTAGTTTCTAGAATATTTTTTTTTAAACAGACTAATATTTTATGAACTGTTTATTCACAAGTAGAAAAATAATTTAAATGAATTTTGAAATTTAATTTTTTTGCTGGTTACATTTTAGATGGAATGCCCCCTTAATAACATATATAGAACAATTTACCAAAAATTCAAATCAATCAAATGAATTTTATTTTTTGACTGGTTACGTTTTAGATGGAATGTCCCTCTTCTAAAAAATAGAAAAAATAATAATTTTCCAAAGTTTCCAATCAATCCAATAAATTTTAATTTTCTTCTGGTTACGTTTTAGATAAAATGACCCTCCTACCTATAAATTTTTATGCTCAAATTATATTGTAATTTCGCTATTTTATTATTATTATTATTATTATTATTATTATTGTTATTGTTATTGTTATTGTTATTGTTATTCTTATTGTTATTATTATTATTTAATTTAAATTTAATATAAAAAAAACAAAAATGTAAAAATTTTAATGCAGTTGTGTTAACAATATAAATTTCGATTGTTTGTATATACATATATATAGAAATAGCATCTTTCAAGCATTAAAGTTTATTCGTTCAGAAAATATCAAAGGTCATTCGTTCAGAACTTCAAATCCAAAACCAGCGGATGTTCATTGAAACGTGTATGATTTATACATTAAATTCGTGGAATATAAACACAATAATAATAATAATAATAATAATAATAATAATAACATAATCTGAATTTCAAAAATATAAAAATCAAAAAGTGACAATAATAAAAATTAAATAATATAATTTTTTTTTATTGTTAATTATGTTATGTTTTCTATTATTAAATATTATCACTAACGTGTTCCTCTTAAATTAAGAGGATTTGTCTTTTGTATCAATAAATCAAATTTAAGAAAAAATAAAAAATGCAATTGTTAAAAAGGAATCGATAATGAGATTATAAATTGTTTTTTTATTATAAAATCCTCTTAATTTAAGAGGAATAATCTTTTATTATATAAAGCAAAAAAAAAAAAAATTGAAGTCGAAAAGAAAACTGAATTTATTATTCAAATAAATCAATTTTCTAATTAAAGAAAACCAATTTTCTTGTTGAAATTATTCTCAATTCAAGAGGAAAATGTAAAATGAATTTAGAAGCGAAATTTTTCTCTCATTTTGAAAATACAAATAAATGGAAAAGAAAAGAAAACTCAACTCACTTTACTGTTCAAATTGAATATTTGAATCAAAATTAAAATTTTCTTTCATTGTGTATTTTTACAATTTCCTCTTAAACTAAGAGGATATTTTTCTGATAATATGGGTATAAGAAAATGAGAAGTATAATTTAATATAAGCCACTGAAGAAGGAAATTTATGTTTATATCTTTATCTATTAAATATTGTGAATAATGTGTTCCTCTTAAATTAAGAGGATTTGTCTTTTTAATGCTAAATTAAATTTAAAACAACATAAAAAAGGAATTTATTTATTCTCATGAATTATTTGAAATGAATTTTAAAAAATTAACGATCATAAATCTTCTTTTCCTATTACAAAATCCTCTGAATTGTAGAGGAATAGTTTTTAATTTAATAATGTGAAATATTTTAATCAAAAAGAAAAATTAATTCATTTTTAAAATAGATTAATGTCTCAAATTGCAAAAAAAAATCCAACATTATTGGTGAAAATATTCTCAATTTAAGAGGAAAACATGAATTTAGAAGCACAATTTTCCTCTCAATTTAAAAATATACGTTTTTCTTTATACTTAACTATGAATATTTTTCTATCAGGAAACTGATTTTTCAAATTAAAAAAAAACCCCTAACTATCTTGTTGAAAATATTCTCAATTTATCAAGAAAACGTAAAATGAATTTAGATGCATAATTTTCCTCTCAATTGGAAACTATAAATAAATCGAAAAGAAAACTCAATTCATTATTAGAATGAATCATATTCTTGAAATTGAAAAAAAACAAATTTGTACAAAATATTCTCAATTTAAGAGGAAAACGTAATTTTAGAAACACAATATTCCTCTTAATTTGAAAATATTCATTTTTCTTTAATATTTAATTATAAATATTTTTCCATCAAGAAAGTGATTAATAAAAATAAAATATTTTCCTTTCAATATATATATGTGCAATTTTCCTCTCAAATTTAAAGGATATTATTCTGATACCGTATATATATATATATATATATATATATATATATATATATATATATATATATATAAATAAAAGGAAAAGTATAATTTAATATAATATATAATAAGACGCTGAAGAAGAAAATGAAAATTTATGACTTCTAAATGACAGTTGAGAAAATTATTATAAAAAAAGAGAGAATTCTCTTGTATAAAATGTTCAACAAAAAAATTCTAAAATTCTTTAATACCTTTTAAAAGTCTATTGTTTCAATTTTACACGGAAGTACCAATAATAGTAACAGAAGAGAATAATAAACTGAAATTTACAAAAAAAAAAAAAAAAAAAAAAAAAAAAAAAAAAAAAAAAAAAATTGTAAAATTTTATTGCATGTTTTCAAATTTCATAAAAAAATATGATACTTTAGTCTCTGAAATTATAGACACTTGTTTTCCTGGTTTCTTTTTTATACTTCAATAACAAAAATTTTAAAAATATTCCCTTTTCAATTTTGATGACATTTTATTTTAATTTAAAAATTTTTTATTTTTTTATTTTTTTTTTTTTATTTATTTTTTTATTTATTCTTTTTTTATTTATTAATTTATTATTCAATAAAAAAATATGAAAACTACTAATATTCTTCTCTGTTAATATTAAATATAAAAAATCACACAATAAATTTGAAAAATGTTCACCGAAAAAAAAAATTTTTTTTTCTTGAAAATAGAGGAATAGTTCTCTTGCAAAAATCATCTTAAATCAAAAATATTACTCTTAATCGGAGAGTATTTTCCTCTTATTTTAAGAATAATATTTTTAAATAGAGAATATTTCTCTTGAAT